GAAGGAACCAATTTGTTGTTTACAACTGTAATATCATGATAACTTCAAATAACAAGGAAGAGGAAGCATAAAGGAAACGCCAAGAATAGAGATTGATTCGCCGCGATTTCTAAAATAGAATGGAATCCTTAAGTGTGGTCATTTAAAAGAAATTGGGTTCTATAATGGTACTGCAGCTAGTTTTTCCTGTGTGTATTTTGTCTTTGATTTGTTTGCTTCTTGTTTTGTTAGGGCACAAGATATAGTTTTGGAAATAAATATCACAATCAATTTTCTAATAATTTGTAGCCTTCTAAGAGTAGTTTCCTGGCGTACCGATCATTAAGCTGTTTAAGGGGGTGTCAACTTCCGAGTCTGTGGATGAAGTTTTAAATTAAGACCATTCAATATTTTCCTGTCGTGCTGTTTATCATACTGTACAAGATGGCGCAACTTTAACCATTGAGTCCGTGGATAAAATCCTAAAGTGTGTTGATCATTCGAATAAAAGTCACTTAACAGAGGTTTTTTGACAGTGATGTTTACAATGCTCTCACAATTTTGCACTAAGTAAGTTCTAATACTTTCGCAGAGTCCATATAAAGTGATTTTCATTAAAAATAATAATAATAATAATATTAACATAGACTGGCAATTGTTTTTGCTTTTCAATTTATGATTTTTAAAAACTCGTTGTTCAAAATGTTTCCTTAAATCAACAATTAAAAAAGGAAATCTTGATTTACAACTTTTGATTATAACCACGAAAATGTGGCAAATGGACGAAATTTACACATACGGTTTTGACTTAGCAGTCGAAGAATGAAATCCTACCGAGCAGTTTTTTTTTAAATTTCCAGTGGCACCTTTTATTGCTGTAGATTATTATTGCGGTAGATTTCTGCAGTACTTTTTCAAAACGTGAAAAATATGTGACATTTTAAAATGGATTGCACTACAAAGTTTTACATTTTATTCCACCTTACTAGAAGTTTCCTTATTTTACAAATTACGTTTGCGTTTCCTTTTCTTTCAAAACTGTTAATTACAAAATAATTCTAATAACATAATTATAATAAATAATAACTTATTCACAGTATTTACTAGAAACATGGCTCTTCACCTGCGACTACTGACTACAAAACTATATATAACTGACCTACTGATCAATTGGTTATGAAATCAGTACTATAAAAGTATCAATGAATTTCATGAATTTCAAAACATTTTGATTACATTCATTTCAATAGCACGAAAAAGTAAATATATGCCAGCTTACCTCTATCAAAATCGCTAGTTTAATTAACATAATTTAGCAAGACCGCTACTAATTCTTGACTATTTGTGGAAAATATAATGGGGGAAATATAACTCTCATCATTATCATAAATCATATTTTTCGAACACACTTCTTACGTGATTCCTTAAACAGCTTAAAAGGGTTTACGTTTCGTAAAGCAGCTCTGCTCGGGAGTATAGACTTCTTTTAACACAGTAGCTATACCTATCACTTCAGTAATATGAATTATTTTTGGAGTTATTTGTAGTAAAAGCTGAAATAACATAGTGTACCCACCTCGATTGCTTGCTTCGGTGTTGAATGGCTCGCAACAGAGAGATTCTCTACAGTAGGATCACTAAAAACAGTGATCTAGGAAAGTTTTAGAGGGGGTCTGAGATTCAAGTGAAAAACACGATAATATATGCGTAAGGGGCGTTGGTTTTTATTTTTGTGACGTCAGTGTCACGTGCCAAGCCAATACGAACTTCAAGGTTTTACTGTCTTTGGTTCAATATATTAAATACGCAAGGGAGTTTTATGTGATTTTTATCGCGAAACATGTTAATTTAGGGGACTAAGCTACTGGAAAGGTAATAAATAACTTCCGGAATTTCTCAGGGATGATTAGCTCGAATCTCGGGGGGGTGGGGGTGGGGTGGTGGAGAAGAGAATTCGACAATAAAACAACTAGTCCGATGCGCCACCTCACTCCCAGGTTTCTTTTACTCTGGTTGTTTTCAAGTCTCTACAATGGTGTTAAACCTGAACGACATGGCAGTGGTGATATCGTGGAGTCACAAATCACGTTCACATGCAAATTTCGAGAGCGGCCCTGCAATGGGCTCAGCAAAACAAAGCGAGCAGGAACCAAAGAGACGATACGACTTCCCTTGCTTTATCCGTCCTACAATAACACCTGCACCCTGGAAGAGCCATAGGCAACACCTTGGGCGAACCGCGGATGTTTACTGCTTGCAAGTACGCGTGCTTCCTTTTATAGTGCGTTTTTACTCACGTGGCCGGCAGTTATGCAAATTCATTGCAACAAAAGAAAGTTTGGATCAGTTAAGGTTACTGGGAAACTGCCCAACCACCCCACCCCTAGTCTCCCTCGCAGCCGTTTTTTGGATGTCACGCTCCCCCACTCTGAGAGGGGGAGCGTTGCGTGACATCCTAACGGCTGCGAGGGAAACTACCCCACACCTAACCCATGTTGAAAAATATATCAAAACTTCTTATCTTGCTTCCTTGTTGCTTCTGCGCGAGCAGGCCTGAAGCGACCGAGCAAGGCAGCAGACCTAATCTGCACAGGGATAAATATTTTCGATTTCTACCCACGATGCATCTGGATTTTTAACCACAATGCACCGGATTTTTACCACAATTCTTTGCACACCCATTGCTTTTCTTTTCCGACCTCCACTAGCGTTTGTTGCATGAAGTTCGTTGAGGTTAGTTGAAATCCTTGCTTTTAATGTGTTTGCGATGAATTTTTCTTTCATGGCAGATAGAGTAGCGGAGATTTCTTCACACCGCCGGTAATTAACAATTATTCCTCGAGTCCGAATGGGTTCGGAGTCAATAGCCCATGAGGCGTAAGGCCGAATGGGCGATTGACTCAGAGGCCATGAGGGCGAGAAGAATAATTGTTTTAGTAAAATCCAACTGGTTGGTCAAAAATGTGGAGGAAAAAATATTTTAGCAAGTTAAAGCTAGACTAGACTCGCTACTAGTGGGCTATAACATATAGCCTAGTAGTAGCTCACCCAATCAGAAAGCAGCATTCATAATAGACCACTAATTGGATTTTACTAATTACTGCTATCGTAGTCTCGAAAACTCTCGAAGAATGTAATGTGTTCTTGTTTCGAAATTCTTTTAAGATCGTGTTTTTTAAAAGTCCTTTTGATTACGTACACTGGTGGTTTTATTTACCTATCATTTCACAAAAATTCTAGAAGATAATGTTCGAATAAACCGAAGTAAAAATTCAAATTGCGTCATAAACATAACAAATTGCGTCATGAACGCTACACATGAAGTATTCTAATTGTACGCGCTAGGTGAACGCGAGATAAATGCAAACCTAATTAGGGCAGCACTCTTTTACCCATTAGGTACCCCAGTTTTATTTATTGTGCGTTGTTAACCTTTTAGCCCGTTTTAGACAAAGACAAAAATTTATCGGAGTTGTCATAGCAACATAATAACATCATTTGACGTCAAAAAATCTTCATCTCAAATTTAACGCGGCTCTCATGTGTTTTTTGCTAAATATTACCAATACTTAAGGTGGTTATTGGAAGAACAAGCTCCCGTAAAAGGAAAAAAAATTAACCCAATGTAGAGAAATACGACTACAAGTAAAATAGGCAATGACGTCATTACGCTGCTATGACAATTCCGATGTGAAAATGACACCGCTCATAACAAATTTTCGTATTTACCTGATACAGTTGTGGTGACTGTTTTTCTATAGAGTGTTTTCACTCACGTGGCCAGCATCTATGCAAATTTATTGGAACAAAAGAAAGCATTTGCATAAGAAAGGAACTCAACTCCCAGAGGATTGGTTTGGGACACCAACATGGCCGCCGTTCCACTGTTTTGGGACACCAATATGGCCGCCGTGACGTCATGTGTAAACACTCCATATCTTGGTTTACGGTCACGTAGTTAAAGGGGCCACGTCATGTCACGGCTTTCTCGCTCATTTTGTTAATATGGTCAATTACGCTTCCTCATGCGCTATGGAGCTTAACCTTGACAAAGAAATTACTTGCGAACGACAAAATCAAAGCTTCTTGTTCAACAAATACACTTCCAAAGCATTACATCAAACGTTACAAACAACAAAAGTGAACTTAGAAAAATGTGTTGGGCTAACAAGTTTTAAAAAACCCACAACTGCAATCCGTTTTAATCTTCTTGAAGTTTATCCATCAGTGGCTGCTTTTGTATTTGTTGTGTCATTTATACCTTCTTTTAATGTTTTGAGCAGTTATTTTTATGATTCACTCAGTTTGGTGGCAGTTCCTATAGTTAGAATTTTGATAAAATTCGTGACACAGCTCCTTTAATGCTCAATCTTAGGAGTTATTGCCCCTGAAAAATCCAGTCGAGCCACCTTAAACTATTTGATCATCACGTGTCTAATATTACAAATCCTTGTAAATTCTAAAATTTGTAAA